TGAGTTTAAGGACAGACATGTCTACAGAGTTAGAACCTGTCTGAGAGAGAGAGAGAGAGAGAGAGAGAGAGAGAGAGAGAGAGAGAGAGAGAGAGAGAGTTAATCTCTGTGGTTACTCTGAACAGAAACCCCAAAGTCTCTCACAGAGTTATTAGGATAGCGGTAATTGAAGAGACTGAGGAAATCTAAGTCTGCCCAGAAAAATGAGAATGGGAACATTTAGGACACAGTTAATGAAAATTGGTTAAGTATCCATAGTCTTAAAAATCTATAGCTTTAGAACCACAAACAATTTCTCTAAGGAGAGAAGTACATGTCAAGACTTTCTGGGACTTTCAAGAATAAGATTTGAAATGAAACTAGTATTTGGTGACTCAAGAGATTCCATGGTCAGTAGCTAGAGTTTCTAAAAGCAACATGTTTCTAAGAGATTTAACTCCATCTCAAGATGACCTACTGGATTTGCAGTTATTTACTTAATCCTAAATATGTAAATGATATTGCTGGTGTGGTAGCTTGTCAACATTTCACATTGCTGTGGAGTGTGGAGCATTATTCTAAGAGGGACCAGGGGAAGCCTATCAATCCCTCTGCCCCTGGAAGAAAATGAATAAGAGGTTATAGCCACATTCTCCAAGAAATGAAAATGATTATGAAAGCATAAATATCTTGTGTCCTTCCATATCACTAGTAACTGTATTTGAGTTCTGCCTTAATGAGATGGAATAGAGGGTGAACACAGATTGCCATGGGTTTACTTTGTATTGTCAAATGCTCCTCAGAAAGTGATGTCATTACTGAGCAGAAGAATAACACCTCTCAGACTTTGGTAGGTGGCTCTTGATATGGTAAATGCTTTTCAATTATGTTATAGACATTATTGAGTAAATCAAATAATTTAACCCTGTTTCTTAAGAATTATAACATACTTCACACTCTTACAGCAGAACTGTACCACTTTTCTGTCCTCTTTCATTAATCTTTTACAAACACTCTTTTCATTGAATATAGGGAACTAATGATATTTGCCCAATTGGAACCTACAAGTAACAAGTAGAAAAAATATTTCTGAAAAATTATAACAAAAAAGCATTCTGAAAGAGAATATTATTTAAGAAAAGAAAGATCCTGAAGAGACAGATGAACCTCACACATACACTGTTCACAATGTTGTAGGGGCCAGTAAATGGGTATACATGGGGAAACATCTTTTCTAGAGTAAATTTCATATATATGTCTCATATATCTTAAAGCTAAAAAGTGTCACAGAATTTGGGGACCCAACAGCAAAATTTTAGCTAAGAATTGGGTTGATAGTAACATTCTCCAGCACTTGGAGAGTATCAGTCAATTGTCTTAGCATATAATTTTTTCCAATTTCTCTTGTAGCTCAAATTGATTAGTTTATATCCAGATATTACTTATTATTGCTTTGGACATACTTCCTAAATTTGACTTTGACTGTGATGGTCTCCAAATTTGTTACAATGTATTCTGTCATGTAACTTTTCTTGGGAGATATGAACAAATTACCATTTATTACAAGGAATGTATGAAAAAAATGAAGAAAGGATTCAATCCAAGTCTATTGTGGTAAAACAATGAGTTTACTGAACTAACAACATCTAAGAAAGGGAGCCTTAGTCTTTCTCATGGATGATCCCACTTGATTAGTTATCCAACAACAAATCATATACATACAAAAACACCAAATAAACTAATCAAGTTTTATTCACATATTTATTTGTGTGCGTATCAGTAGTCATTAAAGAAAAAAGGCCATGAATGTGAGTAAGAACAGGGTATAGGGTAACAGTAACATGGAAGGGGTGAGAGCAAGGAAAGGGAAGAGGGGTGTGAAAATTTGAGTGTAATTGGCCCCTATAAGTTCATAGGGAGTGGCATTATTAGGAGGTATGACCTTGTGCAGTAGGTGTGGTCTTGTAGGAAGAAGTATGTCATTGTAGAAGTGGGCTTTGAGGTCTCATATATGCTCAACATATAACTAAGTGTGACAGGCCACTTTCTGTTTCCTGCAAGATGTAGGACTCTCAGCTACTACTCAGCACCATGTTTGCCTACATGCCACATATACTACCAAGATGATAATGGACTTAACATCTGAACTGTAAGCAAGCTACTCTAATCAAATGTTTTCCTTTATAAGAGTTATAGTGGTCATGGTGTCTCTTCACAGCAATAGAAACCCTTACTAGGAAATGGGGAATGATATAATTATATTTTAATGTCAAAAAAGGATATCTAAAAAATAAAAACAAATACAGAAGAACTGCCATCAGCATGATTTTGCATTTGTGGGCACAAGAATAAAAATGGATTGCACTACATATGTAAAAACTACATAGAAAAATACAACATGTTTCCCAATGATAAGCAAGTTAAAAAGAATTCCTAATTTTCAAAATAAGTAATATAGACAGGAAGATTGGAATACACTCAAAATTTTCTTTAAAAGTTTCTAAATTGATAATAGATTTGAAACAATAGAAAATGTACATCCGATGTTTAACTATATATGTCATTTTTCCACATGTTCTAAACTATGAAGTTATACTTATTTGAATATAGTTAAATGCTATTACCTTTTCCATGTCTCACACACATACATACACACATTTACCAAACTATTCATTAATGACATTAAGATCTTCAAAAGTCTATTTTATGATATAAAACTACATTACATTGATACTAAGAGTTCCTCTATTTATATGGACCATGTTTATGTCATTCTTTGTATAGTAACAAGCATCCTTTCATATTTTGGACAGTGCTTGATTCATATAGAATTGTGTAAAATTCCATGGGACTGGACTAGGCTCTCTTCACAGGTGAGACAGTTGTTTAGCTTGACCTGCTTAAGGGGCTCCTGGCAGTAGGATCAGGATCCATCCCTGCTGCATGAGCGGGCTTTTTGGTGCTATAGCTAGAATTTTTCTGCATCCTGCCGGTCCTGCAGCCACTCAGGCCCAAGTAAACACACAGAAGCTTATATCAGTTACAAACTATATGGACTATGGCTCAAGCTTCTTGCTATCTAGCTCTTATATCTTAAATTAACTTATTTCTCTTCATCTATAAGCTGCCATGTGGCCATGGCTTACTGGTATTTTCACATTTTGCTTTTCCTGCCAATGGCTCACAGTGTCTCCTTCCTCTCCTTTCTCTTACCACTATCTTGTATTTTCCTGCCTGTCTCCAACCGGCCCTGACATAAGCCAATGCAGCTTATTTATCAACCAATCAGAGCAACACATATTCACAGCATACAGAAAGACATCCCACAGCACTTCCTCTTTTCTGTAGAATCAAAAAGGAAGGTTTTAACTTTAACCTAGTAAAATTACATATAACAAAACTGTTATCAAGCAAGAATTACAGTTACAATATCTAGTCTATTTACATTGGGCAAATTCAAAGAAAATATTCTATTTATCCTATATTTGTGAGTCTAAGGTTTCATAATTAACTTATCTTTTATTATAACCAAGGAAAATTATAACTATCTAGCCTTCAACTACATCAAAGAATCCAGAAAAATATATTACCTAAGTAAAAAGGAAATGTATTGTAAGCAACTTCCAAAATTCTGGAAATGACAGAAACAGCTGCCTGCCTGGACAGTCATCCAAATTTCATCTGTAACACTGGGGCATCCATCTTCAGCCAATAGGCCTAGAGTTTTTAGTCACTACTCCCTGTGTCCTGTAGAATATTTGGCAGTATCTTCTGCAAAGCAGGAACCTAAAGAACCATATCACCTTGCAAAGTTCAGTGGTCACCTTCCTCTGGGTCCTGCATGTCCAGTTTATATAACATATAATCAGCAGTTCAGGCAAGAGCAGCTTCTTGCCCAAATGGCTATTTTTGCCAAGAAGAAGATAAACTCCATATAGAGTGTCTTCGATGCCCATCTTTCTCTTTGAAGTAAATTGGTGGTGCCAGGAGCCGACATGTCTCTCTGTCCAGAAAGTCTAAGTTTTTAAAAAATTTTAAATGCCATATTCTGTAGGTCTTTGAAGTGCTTAAAGATTGCCTACCTAATTGAAATATATCTATGTACACCTAGAAAACTTAATTAACATGACTATAAGTTTGATTATCATGGATGACTAATTATTAATCTGTATTTCTTAATTATCCATTACAATTTAAATGAGTTACATAAACTAAATACCTTAAATGAGAGTAGAAATATATATATATAATAACAAAATTAACTTTAAATTTGTAATAAATAAATCTATAGCAATGTAAAACATTTTAAGCGAGTTGTTGCTCTTTAAAAGTAGATTCAATAATCTACCCTTCTATCATATCATATCTATATTATCCCCTTTTCTTTTTTAGAAAGAGATTATATTTATAATCAACCCCCTTTAAAAAATAAATATTTATAAACAATATTTGTGGAATTGGAGCAGAGCTTCTCATACTACTTCCTGCTGAATGGGGCTGCTGGCAATCTTATGGGGATCCTGAGAAAATTAAGAATTATGGTCAAGTCCTGACTGAAATAGTCTGTGAGGCTACATTGTCTGAGCCAGTTGCCTTGAAGCCTGTCTGAGCCATGGTGTCATTGGAGACCTTTTAGGGGGTCTTGGCTGATTAAATCATATGAGCCTGGAAGCAATCCACAGAGTCTCATCTTCTGTGGAAACAAAAGCAGAACCTCTTTTCCGGCCGGGCGGTGGTGGCGCACGCCTTTAATCCCAGCACTTGGGAGGCAGAGCCAGGCGGATCTCTGTGAGTTCGAGGCCAGCCTGGGCTACCAAGTGAGTTCCAGGAAAGGCGCAAAGCTACACAGAGAAACCCTGTCTCGAAAAACCAAAAAAAAAAAAAAAAAAAAAATTTCTTAATAATAATAAAAAAGGAAAAACAGAAAAAAAGAATTTTGTAAAATTCGCAAAGCTACAACTGAAGAATAAACTATAAGTACAAAAGTAAGCATATAGAATCTCTTAAGAACAGGTCCTCTTCTAGAAAATTAGTGATAACTCCCTACATAGTCTAAAGATTGGAGGTTCTGCAGCATTGAGCCTGCACCTCAACCACCACATCATGGACAGAAAAGCCTGTCTGAGCTTAGTGTTTCCCAGAATTAGGACATAGGAGTGGCCTGAGGGAAAAACAAATGCTATATCATCCAAAAGTAAGTTAAACAAATTTTTATGCTGAATCACATTTTTCCAAGACTGTATAACAAGTACCAGAAAGAAAATGGTATATAGAAACAGGAAGGTGACCACCATTTTCAGGGCCTTTATGTGGGCTGCAGTACTAGTGTCTCTGGAGCCTTTGACATTGAGCTGCATGTTCTTTAGATGTCTCCACAGGGAGAAGATGAGCAAGAGAAAAGTTGTCAGGGACACAGTGAAGGGTATTAATGTGAACATAGTGTTAGTGAGTAAAGGAAACCTAGAAAACAGTACATAGTCATTTGAACTAGAACTGTAGGACATATTTGCTTTATATCCATCAATCCTGATAACAACATATGAGTTTATGACTATAATATTTGTAAACAAGAAGAGAAGAGACACCAGTAGTGTCACTGAAACAACTTTTCTTACTCTCCATTTTAGGGAAAGAAAAATAGAATTTGAAAAGTTGGCTATCTTGAGGAAATAAAAGATGCTGAGACATGTAGCAAGCCAGATGCTGAAGTGATTGGTCAGTGTCCAAAAAATATTAGTTATTCTCGACACTTTTCCAGTTATCATTAAGGATGGGTACAGCCCAGATATCAATGAAATTATAAATAGTGACCATAAAAAAGCAAGTCTGGAGATGGCCAGAGCAGTGAAGATCTTATTCAATGAAGAGATCTTTCTTCTCTTGTCCAAGTCCAAGATGTTCACCAGTATTATGAATCCATTTCCTAAAATCTCTGTAATGATTTCTGTACCTAAAATGATTAATAATATGTACTCTACAATAGCCTTCATTGTTGCCAGAAGATGCTCCAAGTTCTACTGTACTGCTGAAGGTTTAGTAATGTGATCTAAAAGACCATGTCTACGTGATTCTTGAAAATTCAAAGCATAATTATTATGGACTTCCATACACAATGTCAATCAAACATCAACAATCATTGATGACTTTGCTTATAGTTTTCTTCACAAGAAATAATATATTGTCCAAAATAGCTTAGATGAACTTCATCTAGGTCCTAAGTACTTTACACATGGCAGCTGGAAGTTCTCTGTAGTTGATGCTAAAAGAAACATTAAATTTTCAAGTGTGTCATCAAAACAAAGTTAGTTTTATTTGCATTGTTTTACACATCTGCTTATTAAAATTTAGCTACTTAATTTCTAGGCAAGCTAAAATTCAAGCCAGCAAAAAAATAAGAATGACACTAAATACATTGAAATAAAAATTGTGTGGGGACATATTCTTATTTTCAAGATTCTTCCCTTAAGTTATTAGAGTCACCTACTTATGTAATAGAATTAATTACCCCCATAAATACCTTGTACTGAGAACAGTGATCATTTTTCTTCAACAAGGTCATAAATGCTCTCTTTTACATGAATACACAAATGTACACTAATGCATAAATATAAAATTAGATACACATCCCTTCATTTGTCACTTCAGTAATTTCTCTTTACCATTATTGAATAATTTCTATGCATTCAACTCATTCTGATTACTGTGGTAGCGGTTTAGACATTATATAGATTGCTTTCAGGTGTAATTGATGCAGTAAATATTCTGCAAATGTGTCTACTTTATCTTTGCACAAAAAAATCTTTAGAGATATTCCTCTTGTGCTACAGAACACACAATGAAGTTATATAAATTAATCTACACAACAAGATTCCTCCTCACTCTCTGTATCTCTCTTTGTAGTACATCCCACTTCCCTCATCAGTACCGAGGAGCTTCAGATAGTATCCATGCCCCTTCATTTGGCTCCAATATCTTCTTCATTACTATCATTGTAGGCATCAAGGCAGGTGAGTGATGGTGCAATGCCTAGGAAAGCTGGAAAATGAAGCATGACATGATAACGTTCTGCAAAAGCTAAAATATAGTCAAAGAAGCAGCGACACAAACAAGAAAGACAGGAGAACATACATTTCACTTCTGTGGTACGGCTGGTACACACTTCCCAACATGTAAAAAGTTGACTCAGGAGGATAACAAGTCTGAAACCAGCCTGGACTACATGATCAGACCCTGTCTCAAAACAACAGCAACAACAACAGAAATCTATAGAGACTGCAGAGAAAGACACAGAACGTTGCTTGTTGAAGACAGACCACAAACCTAGTCACATGGAGAAACGCTGTGTAAAGAAAGTGATATCTCTTATGGTCACCCAACATTGGAGGAACAAACATACTAGAAAGTAAATTAGCCTGGCTATTGAAATTTCAAGAGAAGCTGCTAAGGATAGAAGCATAAGCAGCATACCATCACTGCAGAGATATGACAGTCCTCTTGGCATGGCTTCTTCCTTACAACAACGCTGAGAAGAGAGAGAGATGCAAAACATCCTGGAGTGGGTGTGGAGTGAGTGTTGTTACTGGAAATGCAAGGTCTTTTAGAAAAGTGACTGAACTTGTGTCCACTGGGAGAACAGCAACCACTCAGGGGAGCTTCTCCAAGCTCCTCCCCTGCATCTTCCACTCTGGGTGGAAAAAAAGAGAAAGTTCCACCTGAACAGCAGCTGCTAGGAAAGAGTGTTTTCAAACAAGGAGAGCAGCACTGAGAATAGTTCCCACATAATTCATCTATAGAGCAAAATGACAGGCCACTTCCTAAGAAGCATGAATGTCCCTGTAAATTTTATATTTATATCTATGATATATATATATATACATATATATTTACAAATCAGTCTATTTCATATTTTTATTAGGTACAAGTTTTATTGTCTCACTAAATACAAGTAATTGAAAAGGTGATTTAGCAAACTTAAATTCTCCTTATGCACCCCTTTATTTATATTACTATTACAATCTTCTAACTATGAATCTCCAATGCCTATACATTTCTTTTAAATAAAAATAAATTAGACTCTCAATTATAACACTCAAATTTACCAGAAATTTGAGAAAATGTATTGAAACTCCTTTCTCCTTATTTTTTAAATTAGTGTTGATTTTAGTGTAAAATTTCAGATTTTAAGGGAAAAATTATGATTTCCAGTGTACCAAAAATATGTACATATGTGTTATATATTGATAGATGATGATACATGATTGATGACAGATAATATATAGATAGTTGATAGATTAGATAGATCAAACTTACATATATAGACAGATGACAGAGAGATTTGAAGAGTCAGCTTTATTCATCTCCACAGAACATTATTCTCAGTAAGGAGACTGTGCTACTTTTCCAGCAAGGTCATCATAACTGCTTATAATTTGTTGGTCTGTTTAGCTTTTCTTGCATGCCCAGACACTGAGGGTTGACCACTTGATACTGGATAACCTCTGTAGAAGCTTGTTCCTGGAGAAGACTGATTCTCCTCTCTCACCAGATATGTACCACACATAATTCTTTCATCTAGTGAGTGAAACCATGTGGAAACTTCCTGTTCAGGTTGCCATATAAAGTGGTGTTGTCATGTCAATCTTGTTCAGAAAATAATATTGTTGAGAATTCATGGGTTCAGCTTCCTGTCATGTATCAAAGATGCTGTCTTACAGCAGGCATCAAGGTCTTTTGATTCTCATAATCTTTCTGTCTCCTCTTCTGTGATTTCCCCTAAACTTTATTGGATTGAACAAACCACAACAGACCCTTATTATCTGCATTTTCACCCAGTTTTGGATTTTTGAAATCTTCTCCATCTGTTGCAAAAAGAAACTCCTGATGAAGGATGAGAGCCATTCTCATGTGTGGGTATAAGGATATATATTTTAAAAACATTTAGAAATTGCATCTGTTTAGGAACATGGCAGTTCCTAAACTCCTCTCAGAGTGCCTCTCTTCACTCCCTTCAAGTCCACCACTTCCCCCTCCCTCCCTGGTCCATTGTGCTGGTTAGTTCTGACGTCAACTTGACACAAGATATAGTCATGGTGAAGGAGGAAATGTCGATTGAGAAAATGGCCCCATAATCAAGTAGAGCAGGAACCTGGAGGCAGGAGCTGATGCTGATGTTCCTGCCCTGCTTGATTTTCTATCTGACTGCTTCAGTGATAGACTACAATGTGGAACTATAAGCCAAATAAACCCTTTCCTCCCAAACTTGTTTTGATAATGGTGTTTCCCTATAACATTAGCAACCCTGACTAAAACTTCCATAATCTATTCTTAATTTTTATTTTACACAAACACACACATACACACATACACAAATGTATACATACAAAACACACATATATGCACACAAAGACGCGAACATAAACGATATACATACACTTGCACATACAAACACACATATACATACACAAATATACATATATACCAATATATACAGGTACACACACATACACAAAAACACCCACATATACACACACAAGCCCACATACATATGCACACAAACGCACAAACAGTGTGGAATAATCTTTGAACACTGTAAATATATATTTCTCACATTGTTAATAAAAAGTTCATTGGCCAATTGCTGTGGGATGGTCTGTATGTCAAGTGTGTTGCTGATTGGTCAATAAATAAATCACTGATTGGCCAGTGGCGAGGCAGGAAGTATAGGCGGGACAAGGAGGAGAATAAAGCTGGGAAGTGGAAGGCTGAGTCAGAGACACTGCCAGCCGCCACGATGACAAACAGCATGTGAAGATGCCGGTAAGCCACGAGCCACGTGGCAAGGTATAGATTTATAGAAATGGATTAATTTAACCTGTAAGAACAGTTAGCAAGAAGCCTGCCATGGCCATACAGTTTGTAAGCAATATAAGTCTCTGTGTTTACTTGGTCGGGTCTGAGTGGCTGTGGGACTGGCAGGTGAGAGAGATTTGTCCTGACTGTGAGCCAGACAGGAAAATTCTAGCTACAGCCAATGGCTAGGCAGGATTTCAGGGGCAGAGACAATGCTGGGAAGGAGGGCAGAGTCAAAGGAGTCACCAGCCAGACATGGAGAGGAAACAGGAGATGCAAGATAGAAGAAAGGTATCGACACATGGCAAAATGTAGATTAATATAAATGAGTTAATTTAAGTTGTAAGAGCTAGTTAGATAAGCCTGAAGTATTGGCCAAGCATTTATAATTAATATTAAGTTTCTGTGTGGTTATTTGGGAGCAGCTGCTGAAACACAGAGAAAGTCTGTCTACACACAAATACAAACACACATATATATATGCAAACACAAACACATTATACACATACATACACACAAACACACACAAGCCCCACACATAAACATATACTAACACACACATCACAAAAACACAAACACACACACATAAACTTGCACACACACATACACAGCACACACAAGCACACAAATATACAAATACACATACACATAAACATACATATACACAAATACACATGCATAAACACGCACAAGCACACACACACATGCATAAACACACATACATACACACAAATACATAATCACACTCATATACACAAATACATACATACAAATACACAAACATACATACACAAATGCATACCACAAACAACCTACACGCACATACACACACACATAGAATTTTGTTTCTTAATCCGTTTGTGCTGTTTGATGAGTTAGTACATTAATATTATGGTTATTATTGAAAGGTCTTATTGATAGCTGCCATCTCTGTCTGTGATAATAACCCTATTTTGTGTTTCAAATACATACTTTGCTGCTTTCTTTTCTGGAGAGTCTTGCTTTTATGTAAATCCCTGTCTTCAGACTGAAGTATTGTATCCAGTATTCTCCGAAGGGCTGGTTTGATGGACATGAAGGCTTAGATCCCACAAATATCGTGGAAAGTTTTTCTTTCTCCTTCAGCTGTGGAAGATAGATT